GAGCCTTCTTGAGCAATTAAACCCTGTTTAACCATCACCATCAGTGCACTGGCTTAGAACCTGCCACATGGTAGGCACTCAAACATGCCTTAAATTAACTAGCTAATCAACAAATAAAAAGAATCTGAGTGTCTTGACTTAATGTCCGCTATAACCTTCTACAACAGTTCCAATTAGCACCGAAGAAAAACACATGTAATTTAGTATAATAAATACCTTTCTGCCCAAAAGACAAAGAGCCTATAATTGTCACTCTTAGGTCCTAATAGCCTCTATTTATCTCAAGATTGTTTAAAAGTATAGAAGGGAGAAGATGCTAGCAGCGGCTGCAGGATGTTGGTTTTTAAGGACCTTCCTCTCCTCTCCCTGAGCATATCATGTTCAGTGCCTGCCCACATCTTGTGGAGTCCAAGGTCACTGTCTGACCTTGGAAATGGGCAGTGACGCCAAGTGTAGCCATACTTAATATGGTCCATTTGCACTTAAAAGTTTAATGTTAATGTTAAAAATCTACGTACACATTTATAAAATTAGTACAAAAATATATTTTTAAAAACTATTCTTATAAAATTAAAGAACTGGTATAGAAAAGCAGAAGAATGAAGCTAATCAAAGCATGTGCATGTCTCTCTGACTTCCAAGCATGCAGTGACTCCCAGAGGCTGCAGTCTGAGTTCAGTGGCACTGCTTTGAATCTCATTAAAAACAACCCCCAAATCAGTAGCTGAAGACAGATGGCAAATATTTGGTTAATTAGAAAACAATAAAAATGATAGTCATTAAAAAAAAAATCACACCCCAACCTAATCCCCTTACCAAAGAAATAAGTATTTTGATTATTCTCCAATGAAAAGCAAAACAGAGTTCTCCAAGGCCATTTCTCTTGTAAAGACAAACTACAGTCTAATCCCTTATAATTCTGCACACACAAGGGCAGGACCCCAGGAAACAAAGGTGATGCTGAAAGATGCTGGTGCTCTGAAAATGAATGTTCTTGACCATGGCTCAGTGGCAAAGGCTGCCCTAGACAGGGTGGAAGTTGAATCTTAGACAGAATACTGTTTCTCTAAAATAGTTAAAAAAAAAATTTAAACTGCCTGGAAATGATAAAATAGCATAGACCTATTACAGTATTTCAATAAAAATTACATATGGATCTTTATATACTCCAAGATACTAGTCTCCTGGATCTAACTATTTGCATGTCTGTAAGCAAGTTGTTAAAAACTCCCTAGACCTTTGTTTCCTCATCTGGAAAATGGGCGTAATCAAGAACACCCACTACATAGCCATTGGTTACATGGATTAAGTAATGTTGTCCATATGAAGAAGCTTAGATAGTGTCTTCTACTTAGTAAACACTCAGTAAAGTCAGCAGCTGTTTTATTATCATCATTATTATTACAGAGATTTCATTCCCAGACCTGTTCAAGCAGCATGACTTCAAATGTAAGACGCTACCATCAACATCATCAATAATAATTCCCTTTCCTATAATATATGATTAAGTTGTGTTTTTCAATTTATATTGCTGTGCCCATTTGAACCTCGGGAAGATTCAGAACAAATCGCTACTCACTACTTCATCGGATCCTCACAACAACACTGAACATAGAGACAGAGGAGCTCTTGTCCTCATGACACAGGTAAGCTTCAGTTTTAGCTCAAGTAGAGGAAGTAAAATGACTTGCCAAAAGTCACACAGCTAGTAACCAGCAGTGGCAGGATTCAAGGCTGTTCTGCCTCCTCCTTCAGGGCTCTTGCCATCAGTTCAGCCTTTTCCAAAACATCAACCTCCAAATAGTTCATTTCAGTCAACAAATGTGACCCTAAATGGGTTAGCAGAAAGACCACAAATGGGAAGGGTGTAACGTGAACTTGGATTCATGGTTGCATAAATACAAACACAGCCAGATCTGTAAACAACTTATGGTTCTGGTTTGAGTCTCTCACACACACACACACACACACGCACACACACGCACACACACCCTGGTCATACACACACAGGGTACAGCTCTATGAGAGCCGGTGCTCAAGGGCTATGGGAGAGAAAGTGAGCAAAGGCCTGTGTTCTGATACATGTATGGAGCTTCATCCCTACCATATAACACAATACAAGCAAATGGCTATGGAGGGTCAAAGTATTTATTGAAATAATCCTTTTAAATTAAAATAAAAAGAACTTTAACTCAAAAATTTCGTCAGATGAGAAATTAAAACTATGTTAAAATCCTGGGGTGCTTGGGTGGCTCAGTCAGTTAAGTGTCTGACTCTTGATTTCGGCTCAGGTCATGATCTCAGGGTCCTGGGATCCAGCCAGCGTCAGCAGGCAGTCTGACTGTCTCCCTCTCCCTCTGCCCCTCCCCTGCTTGCGCTCTCTCTCTCTTAAATAAAGAAATCTTTAAAAAAAAAAAAAACTATATTAAAATTCTTGTTCAGATACATTTCTTAATTCTACATGTCACTTACATGCATAGAAAGGAAAAAAAGACTCAATTAAACTAAATAAATCCTTTAAAAATACAAATCTCTGCTCAGAGGGTAACAAGGATTCAATTAATAAAAATTCAAAAATCAAGGTGAGCTTTAAAAGAGATTATCATCCTTGTTCATCTTACTGTAATATGACAGTCAACCTTCTACTTTAATCTGAGTATCTTTGACCATTATTATTTGTTATCTATCTGAAAAGAAAGGAAAAGGTATGAGCCAGGAGTAAAAAAGCATTTGATCAGAACACAGGAGACTATCAAACATAGTATAAATTGCATTGACAATGTTTAAAAAAAAAAAACCTACCAGTGACAAAACCAGAACGGAATTGGCACTGTGTGATGTTGCTTTTTTAATCCTGATGTTGGAACATGGGATGAACAAATTCCGTGAGCTAGTTTTATTTAATCCTGCACCCTCCTTCGCCAAGGGGCCATATTCAGTGACGACTCTGCAGGCAAACACCCCAGGTCCAGCTGAACCCTTTACTCTATTTTTCCACAAGGAGTCTTATGTCTAGCCTCTGCCTCTACCAATAATTAAATGATGGCCTTGGTCAATATGATTCAATATGCATCAATTCCTACCTAGCACTGTATAGTACCACTGCCCCAGCAACTGCTGGTTGGTTAACATGGCACATCTGGAGGGGAATGGGATGATCCAGACAGCTCCGCTCCCTACTCTGGCTGGAACAGGGGCACATAGGAGAGAATAGCAGTGTTTCTCAATGTGTATCCCGAAAAAAACTGCTCATGGGAGAGATGCCATTCAAAAGTTGGATTTCATGGTCAAATCAATTTGGGAAAGACAGTACCTTGAGCCTGTGTCTGGGAGTTTCACAATGCACATTGGCATAGTAAGGGTTGTGAAGAGTCATATAGAAAACAACTCTGTAATACTTGAACTCAGCAAGTCCCAAATTTATTTGACTATGACTCTTCTTGCCAGTAACACTTACTAATACTGAAACTTAGTTAGGGAAATGCTTGAGACTACTCTACATTTATCAGATGTGTGGCTTAAGATCTAGCTACAAGACAACTCTCGGTTTCCCTGACCAAGAATTGTCACTCAAACAAAGGGTTAGTGTAAGAATTAAACTAGAAATGTGTCATTCAGATTTTCTGACAAACTGTTAAGTAATCTGTAAATTTTACCTTAATACAAGGAAAACATATATTTCTGAAACACAAACAGAGAAAAACATATTTTGGGGTGACCATTACAATGATCCAAATCAGTATACTCTTTATAAAAATATTTGCGATCGTGGACCCACAACCCAAATGTATGTCTTTTCATGTGCAAAGCGAAAGAAGAGAACAAAGTAATTACCCAAATATTTCAAGTCAACTTCTCTTTCTATAATAATATAACTTTGCTTGTTAATTTTCAGATAATTCAAGCTACTAAGCTTGAATGTGGATGTGGAGGATGAAGTGGGAGTCAGCGTCATCAGAAAAGTTATCATAAATCTCCACTTTACTATTTAAATAATATTTTATTAATAGTTAAGACTTAGGCAGATACAGTCATTTGACCATCTTTGAAACCACTAAAGATATATCCAAAATATTACAATATAATACACTGAAAATTCCCCCAATATCTGAGAATTAGTGTTCCCACATTTCTAAACACCCAATTTTTTTTTATGGTCATAGTGAGTTTTATTTTTTTTAATTTAATTTTATTATGTTATGTTAGTTACCATACAAAACATCATTAGTTTTTGATGTAGTGTTCCATGTTTCATTGTTTGCATATAATACCCAGTGCTCCATGCAGAACGTGCCCTCTTTAATACCCATCACCAGGCTCACCCATCCCCCCGCCTCCCCTCCCCTCTAGAACCCTCAGTTTGTTTCTCAGAGTCCATAGTCTCTCATGGTTCGTCTCCCCCTCAATTTATTATGAAAAAAGATTTGAGTACTACATACAATAGGTACCCATATCATCGTCTCCAAAAATCATTTTCCCAGACATAAAACACCTTCTAAAACAAAATTCATAGATTTCCTTATAAAGTCAAGCATCTCTTGTAATTCAATCAAAATCTGTTTATATTCTTGAAGGGGAAATCCTGATACCATGCACCTGATCATCTCTATTTCAGATTATCCATTTAAAATTTTTTCAATCATTTTTTAATTTGACTCACGCCACCCATAAAAAGATATATTCAGATTTAAATTTGAATGCCATTGCCCATTTCATTCTTTTTAACTGAGAACCATAAAAACATAATTATGCAAAGTTCTCCCTTCCCAAAAGACAGTTGGTAAAAAATGGCACACAGTAACACCATCTGAGTCAACAAGAAAACATTCAAAGACCTTCTCCTCCTAAAATGGGGGTGGAGGGTGAGGGGAGACAGGTAGCTGTTAATGAATTTATTCAACACTTTGATGTTAGAATGAACTTTCTCCTCACTCATTGCATTTTAGGTTAGTGGTCAAAAATGATCATGTTTTCAAGGAGCTCTAACGGCAGTGCCTTACCAGTGTAGATGCTGGCATTGGAAGCTGGGATACCGAACTGTGATTCGATGAACTTGGGAATGAAGGTAATGAAAGCAGTTACAATGGCACTCTCAGCTGTGTATGACAAACTCACAAAAAGGAATGTCATGTTGCTTAAGATCCTGACAGCTGCTCTTGGTAGGTCTACAAAATGACAAAAATGACAAATGAATGTTATAAATAAGGGATGGAAAATAAAATAAGATTGAATTGTTTTTGAAATGAACTGGAAATAGCCATTCAGCAATATTCGAGACTACTGAATAGAGAATAAAAACAGAAAAACCTGATGACTGATTAGAAATCACCCCCTTTATTAAACAGATTTGGGGTTACTGAAAATTTTTCAAGTAGGATGAGGAAATTTAATAAAGTAACAGAAAACATATCCAGACACAAATAACCTTACAAGAAAAACCCAACCTATGACTCCTGTTCTAAAAACTGCTTAAGATAAATTGTTTACATTTTTTTAATTAAAACAATGTTATTCTTTGCTAAAACACAAGAATCTACTAAATGCACAAAGTATCTGCAGTACAGTGCTACATTATGGTTTCTACTTCATTCAACCAGCACGTCCCTGAGAAACCCACTTCTGAGTTGTCACATCCCTGAACCCGCATTGCAGACACCCACAGCAGGGGAACTGGTACATGATTCTGGACATTTAATCTTCCAGCCTCATTATGAAACAGGAAATGATGCAGCTAAAAGGGCTTAAGGGTCAGGTCACCAGGTCAGATACTCCCAGGGCCTTTGGACTGGGGAAGAATGAGAAATGATCTCCAAAGGAGGAGAGCCCAGAGGTGGGGGCTCAGGACCAGCCCAGCTGTCTCTCAAGGAAGAGAGAAAAGTCTCATCTTTAAGTCTTTGCATTTACTTTACAGAACTTGCCATATATATATGCTTCAAGATGTATGTCCAGGTATCTTCATTTCAGCATTATTTATAATAGCAAAAATTTAAGGAAAAAGACTAAATGGAAAATGTTTAAATAAATTATGGCACAGCCCTATAATGAAATACTATGCGGTAGCTAAAAATGATACAGAGCTATATGTGCTGGCATAAAAGGAACTCCAAGAAATATTTTTATAAATGAGTAAAGCGGGCGCCTGGGTGGCTCAGTCGGTTAAGCAGCTGCCTTCAGCTCAGGTCATGATCCCAGGGTACTGGGATCGAGCCCCACATCGGGCTCCCTGCTCAGCGGAGAGCCTACTTCTCCCTCTCCCTCTGTCTGCCGCTCTGCCTTCTTGTGCTCTCTCTCTATCTCTGTTAAATAAATAAAAATCTTATAAAAAAAAAAATGAGTAAAGCAAGCTGCTGCAGAAATATACATATACATGAGTATGTAAATATATATACATATACATATATGTAATATCAAAGTAAAAATCAAACAAACCAAAACAACGTATTTATATGTGGTTGAATATATATACTTCCCAATATATACAACACCAATAAATTCTGTAACTGGAATAAGATTGGGAAAGAGGAATAAAAGGAGATTTTTGTGCATATTCCTTTGCATTTTTGCATGTTTATAATGTGAATTAACCCACATTTATGTGATCTTTACATATCTTGGAATGTATCATGGAAAAGATAAGCTGCATTAGTTCTGACAGGTAGAGTCATCTCAGTTATCAGAGTGGTTATCTCCTGGGGCGCCTGGGTGGCTCAGTCAGTTAAGCATTCGCCTCTTGATTTTGACTCAGGTCATGACCTCAGGGTTGTGAGATTGAGCCCCACATTGAGCTCCATGCTCAGTGGGGAGTCTGCTTGAGATTCTCCTCCCTCTCCTCTGCCCCTCCCCCTGCTTGAGTGTGTGCTCTTTCTCTTGCTCTCTAAAATAAATAAATAAATCTTAAAAAGAAAAGAACAGTTATCCTCTTATGCTACAACATAATAAAATCATTTCATAAAAATTAAGCAAAACTTGTTATTAAAGCTATAATTTATGGCCAATACACCAGAATTTAAAACTTAGGAAGTCAAGACTATTTGCTAATCATTTTAAAATGTGAATTAATTTTAATATTCTATATCTTAATTTGATCATTTAAAGTTTAAATGAACATTTAAAAAATATTAAGATGCATACTTCATTTTTTAACATGGACAAACACACCAGAAAAAAAAAATAATTAAACTACTTCATAAAATTACCCAATATTCTCTTGTAAATAGGCAAATCAAAAGATCTAAAATTTAAAAATTAGATGGGTGCCTGGCTGGCTCAGTCAATAAAGCATGGGACTCTTAATCTTGGGGTCATGAGTTCAAGCCCCATGTTGGGTGTGGAGCCTACTTAAAAATATATATAAAACATAAAAAAAATAATAATAATAAATAAATAAAATAAAATTTAAAAATTAGGAGATTTTCTATCAACATTTGGAGATTCAAATTAAGTTTACTTGGTATATTAAATCTAAATATTATTGAATCTAAAACATCTGGTGAAATTATACAATAAATTTTTTTAATCCAAGAAGATAACATATGTCTCACATGAATGTTTTAAAAGATACTAGTTATAGGGGCACCTGGCTGGCTCAGTCAGAAGAGCAGAAGAGCATGTAACTTTTGATCTCAGGGTCGTGAGTTCCAGTCCCATGTTGGGTGTAGAGATTACTTAAATAAATAAACTTTTAAAAAAAAGATACTAGTTACAGGGGCGCCTGGGTGGCTCAGTTGGTTAAGCAACTGCCTTCGGCTCAGGTCATGATCCTGGAGTCCCGGGATCGAGTCCCACATCGGGCTTCCTGCTCAGCGGGGAGTCTGCTTCTCCCTCTGATCCTCCCCCACTCATGCTCTCTGTCTCCCGTTCTCTCTCTCAGATAAATAAATAAAATCTTTAAAAAAAAAAAAGATACTAGTTACAGAAAACTGATTTTTCCTTTATACCCATTTGGTGTGGTAAATAGCCCTCTAATTTCAAAGCTAACTAAAAATATATGTAATATTTGTCTTCTCTTTCATAAATAAACAAAAAAACTGGTGTTATTTAAGAAGAATTTAGCAAAAGTTGAAATTCAACAACTTTAAGTTAGCTTCCTCCTTTCTTCCACCTTCCTCCTTCCCTTTGTTGGAGCTAAACCTTCAGCATACATGCCCTGCAGGAACAAAGGGCCAGATATCCAGGCTTGTGTCTTTGGCAGGTGGGGCTGGGAGTTGGTTTAAATACAAGAACAGTGAGTAAGTTAGTCCATTGAAACTAATGGCAGTCAGCTTTCTAATGGCCAGAGAAGGGAGTTACAAATATGGACAGGGGATAGTTAGGTATCAGATTGGAACTGAAGGTAATGGTATGAAGTCATGGGATGGATGGACAGATAGACACTGACAGATAGATAGAATATGATTGATAGATATGATGATAGACAATAGATGGATAGATAAAGATGACAGATGATAGATATGTGTGAGTGTGTGTACATACACATATTTCCTAATTCTATCTACTACACAGTTTAGAAGTTATAACACCCTAATAGCAATGAGCACACCTAGCACCCGGTGCTTGGTTTCTAAAGGCCATTTTCCACTCAAAGGAACCAGAGCTCCTTGGAGAAATGTCTAACTTCAGAGCTGAGGCAGAGAAAATACAAGATGAGCCTGGAAAATCTTGTTAAACAAGAAAGTAAAGTGCTCAGAGAATGATGGGGACATGTCAGAAGGACACCAAAGACAGTTTGAAGGATCCCCAATAGTCAAATATGAAGCAATTTAAGGTCAATGGATGCTAAAAGTGGTAAGTGAAAGTTTAATAGAAACAAGATACAGTCAATCCTCATTATTTACAGATTTAGTATTTTCAAATTTGCTACAATTTATGTGTAACCCCCAAATCAATACTCACAGGGGGTAGCCATTCAAGGACATGCACCAAGTGGCAAAAAAATTTAAGTTGTAGGACACACACTTTCTTGGCTAAGATTTCATGAGGCATCTCACACTGTCTTCCTGTGTCAGCTTTCATGCTGCAAGCAAGTGTCCTTTTCACAAGATACTGTCATATTTTTAGCATTTTTGTGTTTTTGGTGATTTCCCTGTTTCAAATGGCCCTCAGATATAGTGCTGAAATGCTGTCTAGCTTTCCTAAGAGGCTGTGATGTGCCATGTAGAGAAAATACACGTGTTAGATACACTTCCTTCAGGCATGAGTCATACTGCTAGTTGGCCGTAGGTTCAGTGTTAATGAATCAACAATATATATTGAATAAAGTGTCTTCGAACAGAAACATACATAAAACAAGGTTACGTACTGATTGGTTGATGATTATGTTGTGACAGGAATCCAATCCTGTGTTTTCCCTAGAGCAATGCTTCTGTATTCGCTAACTCAATGTTCATGTGACTTTATAGAACACAACTACCCACAAATGAGAATCAACTGGATTTGCATGGCTTCAAAGTACTTCCCCATAAAACACTTATAAATTACTTATGGATTTAGAACTGCAATATATTTATTAACTTTGGAGTACAGAAACCTGGTAGATACAATCTTCTCCAAGGGATAAAAGTTCACAGGGATATTAGCATTATATAGCTTCTGTTACAAGGCACTGGAATATAGCCTCATTTCAGTGGTATGCCCACCAAGTGCATAAACCAGGAGGCGCCATCGTCAAACCCAAACTGAGGGATATTCTATAAAGTTATCAGCTTATACTTTCTAAAAAGATCAAGATCATAAAAATAAGGAAATATGAGAAACTGATCCAGACTGAAGAAGACTAAAATACACCCCAACGAAATACAACATGTGGTCTGTGAATTGAATTTGGACATAAAGGGCATTGTTGAAATCACTGATGAAGTTTGAATTGGGCTTGTGGTCTAGAAGGTAGCACTGGATCAATGTTAATTTCCGGGTTTTGATGGCTGCCCTGTGGTCACGTAGGACAATGTCCTTGTACCTAGGAAACCACACTGAAGGAGGATAGGGCAGCAGAGCATCATGTCTGCAACTTCTCAGGTGGGTCAGAAACATTAACAACTGGAGAACTGAAGTACAGGGTACACAGGAGCTCTATGCGCTGTCTGTGGCTTTTATGTAAATTCAAAACAATTTCAAAAACACAAAGTTTAAAAATCTAAGCTAAATCCATACATTGGCAGTCAAATAT